GGTGCGGCCCCTTCGGGTCCCGGCGTTGGGAAGGCGGGGAGGGGGGCGGAACGGGAGCGGTGGCGGCTTTGGGTAAACGAAGGGAGCGTGAAGCGGGAGAGTAACCTGTCGCCTTCTGACTCCGCAGGCCCGAGGGGGAGGCTGCCGCAGATGACCCAGGTACCCTACGGCGCCTCGTGCCGGCGCCGTGCTCTTCCTCCTACCTCGGGGTTTCAGCTCTGTGCTGGAGCTGCGGTGGGGTAGCGCCCCGGTACGGAGACCTTGTGAAAGCCTGAAACTTGAACAGACGGGACAGGTGGTCTGTTGTGGAGGAAAAACACCTGAGGAAAAATCTGAAGTTGCACTTAATCTGATTCTTGCGCCTTTTACAAAAGCTGTTTGCTGTAGAATGGTTTCCATTAAAATAGCCCGAGGTGTTGAAGGAAATAATGGGCAGGTGTTATAAGAGAAAAAGCAAGGGTTACCAGAGGGAGATTAAAATTTAGCGTTTGTTTAAGTTGTAAAGGTTATTCCTGGATAGAGTTGCTAATTGCCTTGATACTTTACGTATCATACTATGATTTAATAGCATCTGTAAAAAAATTAGGTAACGGCTTTTCAAATTCTGAACTAGAAAATCAGGAGTCTAGAGTATTCGTGACTCCTGTTTTCTAGCCCTCTTCATCTGTACTTTGGAGTACTTTAAAAAAAAAATTCCTTTTTTTTTTTCAAACAGTTCTCTCATCCATACCTCACATAATTATACAGCTGGATGGTGTAATGCTACTTTTTCTTCCTTTTGTTATTGCTGTAAAAGAAGCTGTTGGCACAAACAAGAGATGAGCTCGGGATGATGCTCTGGCTACTCAGCCTCCATAGTACTTACTGAATCGCGCCGAGGCTGGACTCCCCTTTGCATGTTACTCGTAGCTGTTGCGTTGCATTGAATTTTTGTCCCGCGATGAATCCCATTTTGTGTTGTTGATGCCAAGGAAGGGGAAGGCTGGCCAGCGGTGCTTCAGGTGGCTCCCCTGGGGCGTGCTTCTTCCCCTCCCGCTCACAGCCCTTCTGCGAGGGCAACACCTTCTAGCTCTTACTAGTCAGAGCTGCTGAAAAATGCCTGTTGGAGTTACCTAAAGACATGTTATTTTTCACAGCCTAATTGTTGTTTCATTCCCCTTTCACTTACACCTCTTGATTCATAAAAGTTGGGGAAATTTTTTCTGTTTTCTATTAAATTTACTTTAGGTAAACCCTGCGGAGGTGGGGCTGAGAAGCAGAGGCAAGGCCAGGTCCAAAGGCTGGTGAAGAAAGACAAGGGAAGAAAGGGTGCCAGGTGCGCTGGGAGGAGGTCCAGGGTGTCTGTCCCCCTGCCTGCTTGGGGGGGCATCACAGCGGCTGTCCCGGCCCTGTGTAGGGCTGTACTCTCTTCTACACTTGATGCTCTCC